TGGGATGGAGTTATAGCTCAGTGGTTAAGAGTCCTTACTGCTCTCTCAGAGGATCTGAGTTCAATCCCCAGCATCCACATAGTGAGTGGCTCACAGTCATTCATAACTAAAGTGTTAAGGGATCTAACACCCTTTTATGCCATCCGTGGACAGCAAGCACACATGTGGTGCACTTACATACATGCAGGTAAAACATTCATATACATATAGTATAAATAATAAATCTTTTTTCAAAAGAAAAGTATCCCAATACTCTAAGACAAAGGGATAAAGGAAAGAGGGAGGAAAGGGGAAGGAAGGAAAGATACAGAAATGGAGAGAATAAGAAAGTAATACATGGAGAAATAGTGACTAGGGATTTCGCGAGTGGATAAATGACATCAACCTACAAACCCAGGAAAATTTAAATAGGATCAATAAAAAAGCAACAATAAAAATAAAGACAGATTACAATAAAGAAGTAAGAAAAAAACCTTAAGGAGGAAAGAAACAACCCTCATATCTTGCTTCCAGAACTTAGGCCATAAACTGTGAAAATGGGCTTTGGACAATCGATGGCCACCAGAACTGCACTGAGGGCAGATTCAAGCAACCTCTATTTCCTCTCATTGTTGAGAAAAATCTGGCATAGGTGCCACGGACATTAGAAGAACATGCTTATATCCTGGATTGCATCTTGTGGAAAGCTAAACGTGCTGTGAACGGTCCAGGTCCAACCATCAGTGAGATGGGCTGTAAACCACAGCAAGCAGACAGTGAAGAAAGGACAGCAGACTGGAAGACGCAGGAGGACCTCACTTGGAAGAATGACCAGAAGACATTAGGAAATTGTCCTCAAAGCACCTCAAAACTGATATAAACGGGCGAGAAGATGGGCAGGAAGTTAACAAACGCAGCCTACAGAAGAGCTTACACAATCTTGTTGACAACCTAAGATCCCCGTAAGATCCATTTTACCACTCACACAATCTGTTTCTTTAAAACCTAGAAATTAGGGGATAGAGAGATGGCTCAGTGGTTAAGAGCACTGGCTGCTTTTCCAGGGGACCCAGGTTCAGTTCCCAGCACCCACATGACAAATGTCTGTAACTCCCGCGAGCCTAACCATACTAGAGCTTTCCAGGGCACCAGGCATGGTGTGCTGCACAGACGTACATGCAGGCAAATCACACATACACATGAATTAATAAGATAATTTTAAAAACTAAGTCAGGATTAGGGAGGCTTGACCCACTCATATAAAGACATGAGTTCAAATCCCCAGAATTCACATAGAAGTCAAATATTACAGGCATGTCTGCAGTTCCAGCACGTCTGCAGCTCAATAGGAGATGGAGACAGGAGAATCCCTGCAAGCTTCACGATCCAACCAGCCTAGAGGGCACAGAGGCAAAGGAGAGAACCTGCCTCACACGGGATGGGAGATGAGGAGCCACACCCAACGTTGTTTTCTGATCTATGTACATGTGCCAACACACACACACACACACACACACACACACACACACGACTTTTAAACTTAGAAATGGCAAAAACCAAACCTTACTAAAAATTTAACTCCTTGTCATGTAGGAAGAGACAGAGACAGCCCTTATGAATGGAAAGCTAAAAATCAGAAAGAGGAAAACTTCAGGAGCAGTGAGAACTAGGAAGGTAATGTGACTACGGTGTAGAATACTTTTGCCTAAAATGGAGACAGAAAGAAGAAAAGAAACTTTCTCTGAATAAAGATAGACTAATATCTGTTACTCAAAGACCATAGAACTGTGGTCAAAATAAACCAAACAAACACTCATGTCAGGCCTGATGGTGCAGACCTGTAGGCATAGCTACTCAGACAGGTGCAACAGAAGAATTACAGTTTCAAGTTCAGTCTGAGCAACTGATTGATCCTTTGTCTCAAAATTAAAAAGTAAAAAGAGGGCTGGCGATGTAGCTCAGTGGTAGAGAACTCGCCTGGTAAATAGAAACTCTAGATTCCAACCCAGGTTCTAAAATCAGAGACACAAAACCACAAAAAAATGCTTGATTTTGTCAGTGCCCTTTAGTATCAATTTATTTGTAGATGCTTCTTTATTACATGACTGATACTAAATTTTAATTTTAGCTTTGTAGAGGACAGAACTCACCAAACACAAAGTGCAGTATTGTCACAGAGTTGGGTCATACCCGCAGTTCCCAGCGTATTTAGCAAAAGCACAGAAGAAAGGAAAACATCTGATTAAGGGCAGTGAAAACTAAACCAGTCCTAGGGGAGGGAATTTCCCAGCCAGTGCACAGGGAAAGAAACCCATTTCCTACTTGTGGAGTTTTGAAAGAAAAAAAAAAAGGCCCCTAAAGGAACTGGCACTATTAGGAGGTGTGGATTTGTGGGAGTGTGTCACTGTGGGGTGGGCTTTGAGGGTTTCTTTTTCTCAAGCTTCACTCAGTGTGACAATCAACTGACTTCCTGTTGCCTCTGAGTCAAAATATAGGGCTCTCAGTTCCAGCACTACATTTCCCTGCATGCTGCCCTGGTCTCCATCCTGATGATAATGCACTGAAGCCCTGAACGTGTAAGCGAGCCACCCCAATGGAAGGGTTTTCTTTAGAAATGTTGCCTGTGTCATGGAGTCTCTTCACAGCAATAAAAGATCCTAACTAATACACCACTTAATGGGAGAATGCAAATGAACACACATCTCCGTCACCTCTGCAGTCTCGGGCAGAGAGAGGGGAGACTCCTCATCTCATCTGCTATTGGCAAGAAGAGCATTGACACTGCCTCCTCACAGGCCACGTGCCAGCATCTACGAGCAAGTGGTCACTGCTGCCCTTTGACTCAGGAACTCCACTCTTGTTTGTTTTAGACACAATGAAGTATCATGAAAGTAAGGAAAATGAATCACAAGGCCACTGTCCTTACAGCATGCTGGTGACAGTGAACTGTGGTAGTGACCTTAATGTCCATCAAAGCAGACTGGTGTAAAACTCATGGTGAGGACTGGCAAGGTGGCTCAGTTAATGAAGGAGTTAGCAACCAAGGCAGATGACTTTGGTTGTACCCCAGAAATCACAAGACAGACGGAAAGAACCAACTCCTCTACATTGTCCCTGACACCAAGACACATGCATAATTAAATTAACATAACTGATATTATGAACCTCGTCCTCCATATACAAGCACTCTGAATAGCAGGCAGCTGGTAAGAAGAAGAACGAAGTAAATGTGCAAACGTTAAGGTGAGGACTACGATAAGGTTTCTACTTTTTAAATAACCTAAGGCTCTAAATGCAGAACAATAGTACAAAATGAAAATAATTATTAAATAGTTATGAAAATAAGTTATTCACAGAAAAGCAAAGGAAAAGATAAAGAGGCGGAGAGGTCAGCAGTTAAGAATGCTGGCTGCTCATCCCAAGGGTGGGAGCTCAGTTCCCAGCACCCATGTCTGGCAGCTCAGAACCATCTGTACTGCAAGTACAGTGATCTGATACCCTCTGCTGGCCTCCAAAGCACCTGACCTAATGTCTTTCTCTCTCTTTTTTTTCTCTCTCTCTCCCCTGTCTTTGTCTGTCTCTCTGTCAATGTATTTCTCTTTTGTCTCTTTTTCTTTCCAACACACACACACACACACACACACACACACACACACACATGCATGCACACACACATACAGACACACAGAGCATATATGATGTAGAAGATAAGAACCAGGCACAATGATTGCACCTTTAGTCCCAGTACTTGGGAGGCAGAAACAGGTGGGTCTCTGTTGGGAGTCTCAGGCCAGCCTGGCCTACATAACAAGTTTCACAACAGCCTAGATGGTATTATAAACGGACAAAGAGAAGCTGTCTAATATGTATTGAAGGATGAACCCAAGACTAGGAACTGTGGGGCGTGTGTATGGAGGACAGTTAAAGTGGTTGTATCTTTTCTATATTTCCACAAGGCTTGAAAGGGTATAAACCACATTTTATTATGAAACAAGGCCTGGTGGTGCCTCCCTGAAACTCCAGTCACTGAAAAGACACAAACATCAGACAGGATCACAAGTTCAAGGCTAGACTGGGATGTAGAATGAGTTCAAAGTCAGTCTGAGTGACAGCAAAACCTCAATTCTAAAGTTTTTAGAAAATACAGAGACACATAGTCAAGCACAGTCGCGGCCCTATGTTCAACGGCAGTACTGGAAATGTATCACTTCCTGTGCAGTAGCAAACACCCTGACTGGCACTATTTCTGAGGAGCACATCTGATCACCACTGTGGAGCAGACAGAGGTCGACCATTTCCTTGTCAGAGGAGTCACCCTCCTAGGACAGGACGCTGAAGTGAAAATAAAACCATGCAGCTTGCCATGGCCGCAGCTAGCCAGGGCCTTTCTTGCCTTTTTTTTTTTTCTTCCTGGGATCAAAATCTGACAGGGAGAGCTCAGACCAGGAGTGAGCCTGGGACAGCTTCCTAGGTGACAAGTCCGGCCAGACAGGTAGGAGACCAGGACAGAGGGAACACAGCTGCTGACCCTGAGACTCTGCTATTTGAATTTTCTCCCTGAGGTGACTTAATGAAAGCAGAGAGAGGCAGAGGGACTGAGAACACTCAGATTTCATGAGATAACAACAGAGGCATGTCACAGAGGTCGCCAGGAGTCCCTGACAGGTGTGACCAGAGTCTCCTTCTGACAGCTGACAGTGTTGCACACAAGAACGTTATGAATGTGGGTTATGACAAGCTGGCCTCGTCAGCAGATATCTTACTTAGTTTTAAAAACTCCAAGTGTTCTCTCTGTCTGTCTGTCTGTCTGTCTCTGATTCTGTCTCTCTGTCATTCTCTGACTGTCTCTCCGTCTCCATCTCTTTCTCCCCTCTTCCTCTCTCTTGTCTCTCCTCTCTAACTACAGTGCAAAGCTTCTTCACGTCCAGGGCTTTGGGCTGACTGAAGCTGCAGCCACTTAATCAAGACATGAAATCGCCCAAGCTCTCAGAGGGCAAAGTTACAGAGGGAGAAAGACTCACCTGTTGCTGAAGCTGCCACCTTCTGTCTCTCAACTCCTGCCAGGGTCACGGGAGGGTGAGCTCTGATCCTTGGTCTCCTCACAGGCTTCCAGACCCTGAACTGTGACCCACAGCTGAGAGCAGGAAGTCAGCCTGAACTCTAACTCAGCGGAGAGGGCTCCGCCCAAATGAGGAAAAGAGAACCGAAAGTATTTCTCTAATGTCAAATGTGCTCTGAGATCCTGTCCTTTCTTCTTTCCTGAAATGTGGAAGCAGTGGGGAGCAGAAAGAGGGAACTAGAAGATTAGGAAGGGGCACACTAGGGACATGCAGGGCCAGTTCCCAGGACTGCCTTATTTATGCAGAGATAGAAAAAAAACCACCAGCAACCCAAAAGCAACAACAACAAAACTCCCCTCAAATCCAAACAATCATCAGTCACCTCTGTGTCTAGGGAGCAGTTTTACCAGGGTTGGCTGTATAACTCCCCCCCCCCCCCCCGTTTTTGTGGCTTGGGTGAGTGAGATGCGGGAGGAGGGTCAAACACTTTCAGGTAATCTCTCAGGCTAGCAGGAGAACCCAGAGCTGGATCCTGACCAAGAGAAGCTTTCCCTCAAGACCTCAACGGAAGTGGAGTTTTAGGGGGAGATCCCCAGCTTTATAGATACTCTGGGTTAGGGCACTGACTGAGGAGTTGTCATCTCAGCCTAGAAATCAAGGGTGGGAGGAAGGTACCACTGTGGCCACCAGGTCTTAAAGGCAAAAACTTGTCCACCCTTCTGAGATGTGAACCTAGAGAGAGATGGGCAGACACCTCCAGGGAGCCCTTCCAGGAAACCCCTGAGGCATCATCAGGATACACCAGGTTCCTCTCTGTTGCTCCCTCTGGAAGACTCTCACTGAGGAACCAGGGGACTGGGTGAGCCTGTGTCCTGTCAGGTCTCCAGCAGTCTTCTTGCCTGCGCAGACCAGGGCTCTGTTCTCATCCTTAGCTCAAATGCACAGGGACAGGGCTGGAGCTGGTCTGCCTGACAGCAGCAGCCTGAGGCCAGGCCTGAGGTCAGATTTCAGGGCTCCTTTCACTGTCTCACATGTTAGCCAGGTCTCCAATTCTACTTATATCAGGAATAAAACTTTTGAAAATGACTTTATTTGATTATAAACCATGCATGTGTGTTTCTGTATGGGGTATGCATACATGAGCGCATGTGGCTAATGATGTAAGAATACCGTGTGGGATCCCTGGACCTAGAGTCAGAGGCAGCTGTGTCACCAGATGTAGGACCCTGGTCCTCTGCAAGAGTAGGAAGCTCACAACAGCGGAGCCATCTCTAGCCCCAGACAGTATTTTGATCCTCATCCTGTCTCTTCATGTTTCCTATCTGTCAGATGGTCTAGGACCAAGGTTGGAGAAAATGATAAACTTGGGGCTATGAGGCCCTAAACTTGTTTAAGCCTAAGCCTAAGCCTGCCTCTTTCCTCAAGTTCACTTCTACCTGAGAACCAGGTGAGGAGAGGCCGGAAGCTGTACTGTGATGCTCTGTTACTCTTTTGGCTCTTTGAGGGGTTTGCCAGCCAGCTCCAAAATAAATCACACATGGAGGCTTATTCTTAGTTATAAATGCTCGTCCATGGCTTGGTTTGTTGCTTGTCAGTTTTAACTTTATTTGTCCCATCTACTTTTTGTCTCTGGGCTTTTCCTGTTCTCTTCTTTTTATCTTACTTCCCTTCTTACTCCGTGACTGCCTATGTGGCTGGGTGTCTAGCCCCTGCTCTCCTCTTCTCTCTCTCTCTTTTCCCTTCCTTTCCTCTCCTTTCTCCTCCTATTTATACCCTCTGTCCCTTCCTATCCCTGCTCCTGTCTTGCTATTGGCCGTTCAGCTTTTTATTAGGACAATCAGGTGCTTTCGACAGGCACAGTAACACAACTTCACAGAGTTAAACAAATGCAGCATAAACAAAAGTCACACACTTAAAAAGAATATTCCCCAAAAGGAAGTCCTGGGCAATTCCATCATCATTATGCAATTATTCTCAGGGCCCGGTGGGCACTGGGTAGGAACATCTGAGCTCTTAGAGACTGTGTTGAGACTGAGCCAATTCACTTAACAGCCTGACCTCTGCCTAGAACCTCCCGGAGTAAGGTAAGGTTTGTCAAACTTTGGCTGTCACAGGTTTTGAACTGTGTGAGATGCTGGGGAGATAGAGGAGGAAGCATGAATAGTTCCAGGTGGAAGTGTGAAAGGGAAGAGATCCCAAGGCAGTGAAGGAGAAAGTCAAGGACAGGGGCACACAGGAGGTCCACCTGCCATCTTCTGAAACCTGAGGTCCATCCATGAGAAACACGGTTGAAGAAACCCAGGGTCCTGATAATGCTCAGGAGAAGGTGGGATGCTGGTCCAGGTTCTCATGTCCAGGGAGTCCCTACCTCTAGTCTGCATCATCTCCCATAGCCCTTCAGTTCAGCTTCTGTGTCATCAAGTGGACAAGGACAGAGATTCCCCGTGTCCTGGGTACAGATGGGAGACCCAGAGAATCTGCAGACCAATGACATCACAGATGACTTTCCTTTACATCCCGTGCCACAGAGGCTGACCATGTGCACAGCACACAGCAAGGAAAGAGTTGGTGAACTCCCTTCTCCCCTTCCTCTTTTTTCTTCATTATTATTTTATTTACGTTTTTCATTTCTGTGCATTGGTATTTGGCAGCACTTATGTCTGTGTGAAACTGTCAGATCCATTGGAACTGGAGTTACAGTCAGTTGTGAGCTGCCATGTGGGTACCGGGTATTGAACCCTGGTCCTCTGGAAGATCACACAGTGTTCCTACCAAGGGATTCATCATCACTGTCCTAACTACTGAGCCATCATCGCTGTCCTCACTACTGAGCCATCATCACTATCCTAACCACTGAGCCATCATCACTATCAGAGGGCAGTAGCCACTTTCTGGATAGAGTGGGTTCCAGCAAGCTCTACACCACCCCCTGATGCTTGTTACAAGTTGTAGGCTCTTTAGACTTGGATTTTACTGCCAATGATGGGAACCTAAAATCCTTTTCACAAGCTATGGAAACACTTGGGACTCTTGATAGATGTTCTGAGTTATTGCATAATCTTAATATTTGACAATCCATGAGCATAAATGAGCTTTTTGCCTATACAGAAACTCTTGGTTCAAATTGTCAGGGAGTTACAGTGAAACTGGCTCATCCACACCTCCTGGAAAATCCATCTTCCTTCCCAGAGAGCTACATTCAACTTGTGAACACCAGGGACGCCCTATCACACTAGAAGTCAAGTCATTTTGTTCCTCACCCTGAGGTCTTATGGTGGTGACCTAGAGTCTCCTCTAAGCACATAGTTCTCACTGGATCATAATTTAAAACACTTCAGAGTATTAAACAGTTTCAACAGTAGATATGGTGACATTTGAAGAGAATAATTAGATGTAAAGAAGTGTTTCACATGAGACCATCAGAACGTACTCTGAATCCCTACTTCAATACACTCCTGTCTCCCTTTGGGTGATCTTACCGTCCTCTTTCCCCTGGAGTCCACACAGTTCTCTCCGAAGAGAATAGAAACGCAAAGAGAATGGAGACATTTTACTGATAGTCTTTGGCTCCTTCATCCATGAACCCTCCTAGAGGATAACCTCCCCGTGAAGTGTGGAGCCGTGCTGAATGAAGGACCTTGGGTATCCATGGTAGCTTCCATGCCAAGCTGTAGTGACAACAGTCAGATGGACTTCTAAACAGAACACCTGGACATCAGCCAGGCCCTTGACTTTCTCTTTCTGAAACAACTTCATTCTCATGAGATTCTGTTTGTTCTGGGTTTTGTTTGTTTGTTTGTTTTATGCTTTTTGTTTTTCCAGATTCTACATGCTAGAAAATCTTCTACCGAAGTTCAGACCGTCCCGAACAAGACTGTGACTGTTCTCAAAATCAGGCAATAGGAAGCAGGAGGTTGATTCTTGGTCAGCTGATTCAAGTTCTGACCTCTCTCCCCAATCCAGTCTGAGTTCTTCCTTCTGCTGAGGTCTCAGACTGTTTGGGTTTTCACATAGCATTCAAAATCACTACCCAAGTAACAGACTATTCTCAAGTGCTTCTTCAGGAAAAAGAAACCAAGCTTCCTTATTCCTCACTGAACACAGCATAGGAATCCTCATTATTCCCACACTCAGCCTGGTTCTGGAGATCAGACAAAGCCCTCTGAGCTGCTTTACCCACTCAGGAGACACAAGTGCCCTACCCAGCAGCAGCAGCAGACATGAAGCGTGCCTTTAGGAGGTGAGACACAGCTCAGAACCACACACTCTTGTGCTTGCACACTCACAGGAATGCATCAGGTTCGGTAAAGTAGGGAACACACCTCTGGAAAAGTCACAGATGGCTCTAGACTTTGAACTGGAGTTAGTACAGGCCATCTTTACAAAACTGATGTAGATGTTCTGCAAAGCCTGAGAATTCCTCTTCTTTGCTGAAGGAGATGGAGTGATAGCATCAGTCTGGTCCTTGTTTGAGACACTTACTAAGTAGTCTTCACTTTCCAAGGGATTCAGGTTACAGTCATTGTTAGGGCCCTAGAGAAGTCCCACAAAAAATGCCCACCATTCATGTAAGCAATCGGCAAGAGCATTTATTATCTCTAGAGTAAGAGTTGAAGCATGTCTGGGGCCACATATCTGACGCAAAAACTGACAACCTCAAGAGTAGCTCAAGGCTCCTTTTATACACAGCTAAAGGAATTCTAAAGCAGTTAGGTCATCCTATCTGGGATTGGCCTATGTTCATGACAATCATATTAGTACATTGTTAATTGGTAAGAACTAGCAGGGGCTGGCTAGGGCTTTATTTTTCCATTTTTGGGCAATCTGGACAAGTCCCAGGCTCTGTCCTTATGTGGTTATTGCCTTGAGATACTGGGGGAGGGGTGCTGGGTCAAGCCTGGTATGGTCTATCTCCTTGTCCTTATTGTTGGGGGCATTGGTGATTGATTGCCCTTCGTTCATGGCTTGCTCAGAAACTGTTTGTTCAGTTTCAAGAGGCAGGAACTGAGCTCTAGTTCTAAACTGATTTATTAGGAGTCTGTCAGTTTATTTC